GTATCAGAACAGTGTATTAGTCCATTCTCACACTGCTATGAATACCTGAGACTGGGTAATTTATTTAGAAAAGAGGAATTTTTTAAACAGCACCTTGAAAAAAAGAAAAGATGAGTTTTGTTTCTTTGTCTGTTTTGAGACAGAGTCTCACTCTTGTCATCAAGGCTGGAGTGCAGTGGCACGATCTCAGCTCACTACAACCTCTGCCTCACGGGTTCAAGCGATTCTCCTGCCTCAGCCTCCTGAGCAGCTGGGTCTACAATCGTGCACCACCACGCCTGGCCAATTTTTGTATTTTTAGTAGAGACATGGTTTTGCCATGTTGGCCAGGCTGGTCTAGAACTCCTGACCTCAAGTGATTTGTTCACCTTGGCCTCCAAACTGCTGGGATTACAGGTGTCAGCCACTGTGCCCAGCCAAAAAAAGAGGTCTACTTGACTCACAGTTATGTGTGGCTGGGGATGCCTCAGGAAACCTACAATCATGGCGGAAGGTACCTCTTCACAGGGCAGCAGGAGACAGAATGAGTGCAAGCAGGGGAAATGCCAAACACTTATAAAACCATCATATCTTGTGAGGACTCACTCACTATCAGAACAGCACAGAGGAAACCACTCCCTTGACTCAATGACCTCCCACGGGACCCTCCCAGGACACCTGGGGATTATGGGAACTACAATTCAAGATGAGATTTGGGTGGGGACACAGCCAAACCATATCAAACAGAAAGAACATAATTTTTTCCTTAGACTCTGATTTTTATTAATCTACTCATCATTGTCATTATAAAAGCCACCTGTTGAGTGGCTCTTCTATACACAGTATAACTCACTTTATGTTCTCACAATCTGTGAATATGGATTAGCCCCACAGAGGTCAGGAGACCCAAGGAAGGTCCTAAAACAATAAGCAGTTCCCTTGAGAATCTAACCCAGGCCTGTGTGACACCAAGGCGTGCACAAATATTGCTTGTGTAACAAATTATTAAATAGTAACAAACACAAATGACAAATTATTCAAAAAAAGATTTTCCATTTTTAGAAGGCTACAGCATTTATATGACATCATAGACTCTGCCATGCAGTGGCATCAACAGCCTCATAATTATCCACAGTTTAGTAACAGAAATAGTTTTCCCTCTTACCTGCAGTGGAGTCAACATTCTCCCAGGCAGCTGCCCCACCGAGCACATCATCCACTTCTTTCAGTTTTGGGTACTTCCGATTTGTTACCTAACAAAAACAAGCCTTCAGATTCAAAGTAGCTAAATGGTGCAAACTTGGGCCTCCAAACCTCAAATTTCAGAAGTACATAAGAATTCACTCTTTCCACAGTTTCAGACGCTAAACTCCCACAACACAGTACAAAATGGAGTAATATGCAAACATTAAGACTGAGGTCGCACCATGATGTTCTAACTTCTGAAAAGTAAAGGTATTCTGGCCGGGCATGGTGGCTCATGCCTATAATCCCAGCACTTTGGGATGCCAAGGCAAGATCGCCTGAGGTCGGGAGTTCAAGATCAGCCTGGCCAACATGGTGAAATCCTGTCTCTATCAAAAATACAAAAAATAGCCGGTGGTGGCGCAAGCCTGTAGTCCCAGCTACTTGGAAAGCTGAGACAGGAGAATCATTTGAACCACGGCGGTGGAAGTTGCAGTGAGCCGAGATCACGCCACTGTACTCCAGCCTGGGCAACAAGAACAAAGTCTGTCTCAAAAA